AAACCATACAACAAGTTTGTGACTCAAATGTGCTGACACTATTATAGGTGCTTTTGCAGGCATTACCTCTAAACCCTGATTGTTCCTATGATAGGTATTACTATACTTTTATCTAGAGAGGATATTTAAGCTCAGAGAAGCTAAGACCTTACCACAGTCACACAGCTAGTGTGTGACCAGGCTACAGTTCTTTGTATTTTAACTTTAAATACTCCCTTTCCACAGTTCTAAACCTTCCACATTCCAGGACCAGATTAATTTTCACTACAACTAATTTCTTACAATAGTATACTCACTAACTTCAAAGCGTCCTTTTGAATGGATTCCAAGTTATTTGTTCAGAATTTAAGTCTCCACAGCACCTGGTTCTATGCTTACATTTTGGTCTTCCAGGCGATCAATGATTTAATATACCCTCTACATCAATTAAACCAAACTACTTGTCATATCTGAAAACTTTGTTAATTTCCCCACATTCATATTAATTAAAAAGGCTGTTGTTCCTGATTAAATGTGGGAGGCATAGAAAAAGAAGATGACAAAGTTGATTCTGCATTTTCAAGGCTGAGTGATTAAGAATGTTGGTGCCATCAAACAAAACAGGAAAGTCATGAGGAGGGGTGATTTGGGGGAAAAGAATAAATCTTATTTTAATGTCTTCTTTGAATTGCTGGTGGAATGTTCAGGAGGAGAGCAGCAGGGCCTCCACTGCCCTCCAAAGTTCAGAAGGGCAGTCAGAGCTGGGGTGGATGATTTTGGAATCTTCCACAAGGAAGTGATCGCTGCAGCTCTAGGAATGAAAGAGGCAGCCCAGGGGAAGAGAGTGAAGTGAGAACAGAGAACTCCAGACTGCATCTCAGGGCCTGCTGGGGCCTCCTATGGTTAGTGGTGGACAGACAGGTGTAGGAGGACGTGAGAGGAAAACTCAAAAGCAAGGCACAGATTCCTCCTAGCATTTTCTTAGGAAATAAACACAAAGGATCAAAAAAGTAATTTGATTCCCAAACCAAGACTCCTCAACTAGCTCTATTACATTACAGGACTTTCCTTAACAGTTGAGAAGTCTGGAACCCAACACATTACATAGCTGAGCTCTTGCATATCTTCATATTGTGGAGCTTGCTTTCCAGATGAATCTTTGAAAATATTTGCTAACAAATATGCAACATCAACTGGTATTCCAGGCATTGAGAGTATAATAGTGAATGGGATAAAGGCCTTGGCCTAATGGCGGTTACTTTCCAGAGGATCATATCACTTTGCAAGTTCAGCGTAAAGCTAGCACAAGGGATCACAGTGTTAGGGGACTCCATCAGGGAGAATCAGGAGCTGGATCTTACAGCACACAATATCATTGCTAGGTCTGGGATATATGATATGACTGAGTTAATTAGGAAGGCAAAATAACATTAAAGAGATTATAAAACAAGACTTAAGAAAGCACCTTCCAACAGTTCAGTACTGCCAGAGTGCAGCACAGCAGGCAGAAATACAGTCTTTGGCAAGCAGGAGAGTAGATAGAAAATTGGGGGTCACTGGTACACCATGCTAAGTTTTGGTGTTATTCTTCCAATGACAGGAAATCACTGAAAGGTTTTAAGCTGGGCAATGATATGGTTCAGATTATATTTTGGAAAGCTCTCTCTGGCAGAGGGAGAATGAATTGGATGGGTAGAAACAGGGAGATAGTTTTGGAAACTGCTATAGTTATCCAGGCAAGTGATGATAAAGCCTTGAACCAGGGGAGTAATGGAGGAGATACAGAAGAAAATATGGATTTAATAACTCTGCTACAGATGAAATTCCCTGAACTGGTGATGAACTGGACATGAAAGAGGAGAGCAAGGAGCCATAGAAGGCATATCCGGGCCCCTTGTTAGTGGTCAAGGAGACTGTATCACCAGTGACTGAGATATGAGCACATGATTAGGGATTGGCTTAAAGGAAAAAGGTATTTAGGTAAGTTTCGGATGTGTTGAATTGGAGATTTTTCTGATACATCAGTAGAAGATATCCAGCAGACATGTGAATATACAAATGTAAATCTTGGCAAAGTGTATTCTGGACATAGAGATTTAGGAAAGAGGATCACTGATTCATGGACAAACCAACATTTTTGGGGCACCCAGAGGAAGAATATATTAGGATTGAAATAGAGGAGAAGCTTTTAGAAAAAGACTAAATTTTGTGCAATTTTCATGGAAGTGAAGAGGGCACGGAATTCCAAGAAGAAGAGGACACGGATCCCAGATACAGCATGGTGTCCATTAAAAAGAGAACTGCATTAAGACATCAAAACAGCTGGTAGTTCTCCATGAGGAGCTCTCTACCCCGCATAACCTCAGCACTAAGCTATTGCTTTAGGGACAGTGAACAAGAGCGTGTTGCATAAGCAAACTTTGTCAGGCCACATTGGGGTTCCCACCACCCCTTTCACTGTATTTCTGGACCTTGGGAGACACTAAGGTTGTTCTACATTTTCTCACAGACTGGGTTTAATTTAGGTGGCAGAAAAGTGCCTTTACTGAAGGCATGTGGATTAGTCCACAGATAATGCTAAGGTCTCCACAGGCAAGATGGATTCTAATGAAGTTTCAAGGAAGTGGGGAGAGGTTTTAAAAATGCGACATTGGGGATCGCATACAAAGGAGTAGGTAGGCATTGCCAAAGCTCTCTTGTAACAACTGCTAATCGTTATTATCCAGTATGTGTGAGGGAAGCAAGCCTTTGCTTTCTGGGACTCAGAAACAAACAGACTTTGTGTAGTAGTAAAATCCAAGCTGGTATAATACTTTTTGCATGTATTAACCTATGAGACCAAGCTATTTTTGGAATTTTAAAGAAGCAGAATTAAACATCTACTTCAAGGGACACATCGTATAAAAATCTATAAGTTGGGGAGGGTTTCTCTTTTTATTTCCTTGAAAATAACACATCTCACAGGTGAGAATATATAGTGTAGATGGTAATTGCCTTTTTGCTGCAGCTTCATTTTCATCCTCCTCCCTTTCTCCTCCAATATTAATTATCAGGACTAAAAATAGTCCATTGTGGGATCTGTGTACCTCTGGGAGGCTCCTTCAGAAATCTGACATCTGTGCAGGAGGCTCTGCTGAAATGTGTGTTTCTGTGAAGCTGTCTCCTGTTTGTGAATTTCGTAAACACTTGCATAGTCAATGCTGAAGTGTCTGTCTCTCACAGCGACTGTGAGTGGCAGCCTGTGAGAACAGTGTCTTTGAGCAGACATGACTCATAGTGCCTGGAGGGAATAGAGCATGCATGGAATATTTATGATTATGAGCATTAATAATAGGAAAATATTGATACAAGAACCTACCACAATGTCACTGTTGTGTGCAACCAAAATGCTATGGCCTCTTAAAGTTTCTCTTTTTGTAGGTACCTATATACAAATGTACCCCTCACACCCACCCCATGTGGAGGAAAAGAATATAAGGAAACTTACAAATTAGAAAAATTAGTGAGTCATTTTGCATCCATAGTCAGTTAAGGTAGAGTTAGATGGGTACTAGGAAAATCTTCACAGACTAATACATATCTACTGGAATTAGAGACTTGTGGCTTTGCATTAAGCCTCCTCCTAAAAATATAACTATCAGTGCTGGTCAAGTCATTTTCTACTTTGTAAGATTTCATTTCATCAGATATTCTTCAATTATCTTTTTGGAATGAATGGTAGTTTTGATGGGATGTAAGGTGAAGGGAAGGAAGGGAGATAACTTTGTAGCATGGATATAATGGCCATACTTTCTAATCAAGACACATGTCTTGACAAATGAGTGCATTTCTAGGGAAAGTAAGATTGATTACTTTAAAATTGGGTTTTTCTAGAAAATCTGAGATATATGGTTATGTAACTATAGGGGATTGTCTTGTTAAGAAACCGTAGGTGAAATTTCAAAGCAGGGAGCTCTGTCTAATCACAGTGCAGAGTGAGAACAGAGCCCAGGGCCCCAGGAGGCGGGGACAGGACCCAGGAGGGAGGACAGTCTGAGCAGAAGGGACTATTTCATAGTCATGCTCAAATGGGGGTAGTTTATAGAGGTAGTTAGTGCTATGGAATTTTCGTTTTTATTTTTAACCCCAAACGGTCACTTCACAATCAGCAGTTTTGGTCAACTTTCCAGTTATTATTTAATTTCCTCAAATTCTTCAATATGTATGTACATTATATACTGGCAACTGAAAACGAATTTTGTGACAGTGAACTATTGAAGCCGGGAGCAGCAGTGTGTGCCTGCTGCCACTGCTACTCAGGGGGATGAAGCGGAAGGATCCCTTGAGCCCAGGAGTTCAAGTCCAGCCTAAGCAGCATAGCAGGACCCCATCTCTAAAAACAACCACAAAACTGTAAACTACTTGATTCAATAGAAACTTCACTGAGTATCTACTAAAGTGTGACGATGATACAAGTGACCGGAAATTTATGAAGTATGATATGCTTTTAAATATTGAGGAATTTACCTGTTGTGGAAAAATAATAACCTGGATAGCTATTCTCATCATTTCTTATTTAACACTGTTTAAGAGCTGGCCACGTGGTGAGGGTGGGGTGCGGGGACCCCTGTAGCCTGCGGCCTGAGTCCGTGGTCGCCAGTGGCCGCAGCTGCGTGGGTCCGGGCTGCGCGCCACGGCGCAGGGACCGGCTCGCCGGTGACGGGCGGCCTCGCGGCTCCGGCCTGGCCTGAGGATCGCCCCTGACTTGGGAGTGGCTTCGTCTCTATACGAGCCAGGGGCTGAAACCGGTGTGGGCGCCATGGGATGGTTCCCAGGGATGGTTCCCAGGCCCGGTACCCGCACGGCCGCTTTACCCCGCAGAGTGAAGCGTCCGGCGGGAGGGCCTTCCCGTGCGCCCCGCCGGAGGCCGGAGGCTGTGAGGCCCCGGCGTCGTGCGGCCCATGGACGTCTGCGCCCCATCCCCAACTGACCGGAAGGTCACCCCGGCGTTTACGCGCCGAGGCCAAGACCTGAGGACTTACCCGGACCCGCACTGGCGGGGACCATCACGGTCTGACGCGCCAGGTCCTAGGAGGCCTCGATCTGCCGAAGGGCAGTTGCACTGTTCACTGAGACCTGAAGCCAGAGAACATTCTGGACAGTCAAGCTGGCTGACCTTGGCCTGGCCGGAATCTACCGCCACCGGACGGCGCTTCCCTCCGTGGCGGCCACACCCGGGTGCCGCGCCGCGGGAGTTCTGCAGTCCGCAAGCGCCACACCCGCGCACGCGCGACGGCGGCGGATCTCGCAGACGGTCGTAGAAAGCTTCCCTTGTGCGGAACACCGAAGCCGCCCAGTTGGACAAAATCCTTGAGCTGACAGGGCTGCCTCCAGAGGACGACTGGCCAGAGATGTGTTTGTACCCTGAGGAAACTCGCGCCAGGAGGGCCCTGCCAGTGCGGGCAGGGTAGGCGGGCGGGGCGGCGCAGAGAAAGGCGGGCTGCCAGCCGCACGGCCGTCTCCGCCTGCGAGCCCCGCCGCACTCCGGCCTACGTGAGGACGAAGGTCGCACAGTGAGCGACGGAGCGGCTGCCACAGAGGAGGAGAAGCTTCGGGACACTTGAGTGGAGAGAGCCCCGCCGAGACGGCATCTCTGCTTCATCTCCTAGGCTTTCGGGACTCCTCTTCCAACTTTTTATAGAGAATATTTTGCTGCCGTAATGACATTCCCCTACTACTTCTCCTTCTGAGGTGTCTCCTTCTCCCGCCCCTTTTTCTCTACACCAAGGGGTGTATCTCCTTTTGCCTCCTTCCCTACCTTGATATTGGAGTCCTTTTTCATACAGGAACAATGAAACAAAACAAAGAAATATGGTCTTTAAAAAAAAAAAGCAAAACAAAAAACAAACAAAAAAACAACCCAACAGCATATAAATGATCCACTGTGAATTAAGAATAGAATTTAGTCCCAAATTATTGTCTTGTTGTCATACATTATGTGTCAGGGTTACTGACTTTGTCAGTTGGCATGCATAGGATTTGAAGATGCACTACTGTTTTAGCCTAAAGAAAAATAATTTGGAAAACAAATTTGCTGCAATAAAAAACATCTTACAGTCCATCCCATACTGATAAACTACAGCCAGTTATCATCTAAAATAATGAGAGGAAAGTCCACATGGAGAAGCTGGGAAGGCTTGCATTGGCCTTCAGTCCCTCCACATACACACATATGTAAAGACTATTCCTGGGATGTTGTCCAAGTTGTCACTTACACAGTCTTCATCTTTGTAAGTATCTCAAATTAAAAGTGGATCCAATGCATTTGCTTAAAGACAGCACCCCAGTGAGTGACTTTCCTGATCTCTGGGCCAGTGGGTTTGGTACCATAACCTGTTAGAACAAAGCATTATTAGACTTTTTGTTCTTATTCTTTAGGCTTTGCAAACCATGTTGTGGGAGCACCAGGCTTCAGTGAAGGTACCTTGGAGGCTGCTGCAGGAGCACATGGGACCAAATAGCTCAGGAGGAAACCCCAAAGCTGAGCTGGTGGGCTCCAAACCCTATACACACACCTTCCCTGAAACTTGACTTTGACCAGAGCAATTCTTTCACATTGTATTCTGGAGAGCTCTTTTTCACTTGAAGACAAAAAATTATTATTCATTTATATATGTCTGAAAACCATTGATTGCAATTATCCATAAATATCCCAGAGAATAACCTAAATATTCCCCTCTCAGGAAAGGTGTGAGTAGTCCAGTCCACAGTTTTGCTATGGATATTATACGGCATTAGAAAGAATGAAATAGACCAATATGGTGTTAAATAGGAAGATATGATCCCATTAAGGTAAAAATATATACAACTAAAAACTAAAGGCTCCTTTATGTGCAATTAGGTAGAGGCACTTGGGGGCTTCCTACATTTTCACATTTTGGTAAAGTGAAGCCTCCCAACGCCCATCAGGGAAAGTGAAATGTGAGCCTGCCACTTGGGGTTTTAATTTTAGGTCAGAGACCTGTGGTTTGTGCTTGGCTTAGGTTTTCAGTCTGCTGACTAGTTATAAAATTGATCACAGAACTAGTAAAGCCCCTTCCTCAGAATTCAGGGCTGAGCTAAAGGAGAGAGAACAACCTCCCAAATGAAAGCCACATTATACTGAAGAAAATCTTTTGAAAGGTTAGCTTTAGTATCCAGTGGAGAAATACAAATAAATTAAAAAAAGAAACATATACTAGAAAATGCTCACCATTATTGACCAAATTATGATAGAAAGAATATTAAGTGACTCAAATTTCAATGTATAAAGAATGATCGATCAGGGAGTTCTTTGTATTAAATTCAGAGGCAGACTATTCTCATTGTCCTTCTTCCCGTGGCCTCTCTCAGAAACAAATTATAGTGTAAATGTATTTTTTGGCACACCAAACATTATGTACCAACTCATTCTTTATTAATATTATAAAGTGTTGATGAAATTTTCTAAGCACTGCTTAGAACAAAGATGAGATTTTTTTTTTCTTAAAATGTGTTGATACTTGTCTTCATGGTGACTATTAGTTGCATATTCAATTTCATGTTGATAGAAATCATGTACTGGGAAATTATTGTAATAGATATATTGAGCATCTAAATGCCTCTTTTAACTCAACTTTTAAGAAAATTCTATTTCAACAAATTTTTGAGAGCCTACTCTGTTCCAGGTGACATGCAAGGACTTAGAATGCAGAGATAATTTTTTTTTAGAAAGTTGTTCTTAACATCCAGAAATTAATAGTCTAGTAGGTGCAATAGACACACTTACCCAAAATTGCAATAAAAGGCAGTAGGTGTTAGAAAAGAGATTGGCATTTGGTGACATGGGATGGAAGAGAACTAGACTGCAAATTCCAGGTAGGCAAAGACTGAGCTGCATTTCTTTTTCACTTCTACTTCTGTCAAGCCCCACACACAGTGCCTGATCCCTGGTCTATATTTAGTAATTCTGTGTTGAATGAGAGAATGAATGAAACTATGAATGGAGTGAGAGTTGTTAGGACAAGTTTCGTGGAGGATGTGACCTTTGAGTTTGGTCCTGAAAGAAACAGAGAAATGAATAGTGAGAAATAAGTCGAAGGGCATTCTAATTCCAAGTAGAAGCTTGAGCACATTAAGGAAGGCTCATGCCAAATGTATGGAATAAAAGAAAACTATACAACATTAAATACATATATTTAACATGTTAACACACATATTCATATATATATACATATAAAGGATATTTGTGTTGTATTTGCTTTGTCCTTGTATGTTTTATCTAAATATTGTGTATTTCATGTATACAAATTCAAAAGTCTGCAGCCCTGGAGCTGTCTGTTCCATAGGATTGCTCATGGTCAGGCCCTGCCTTCCCATGCCCTCTGCTAGCAGCCTTTACAATTTCTATTGCCACCTTGCTCTATGTAAAACCTCATGCTTTTCAGGCCTCACCGTTAATCATTTATTTCAGTAATTACTGTCAATACTTACCACAAACCTTTTACATGCTCAAAGCCCAGATTGGAATGTGATCTTTCCTTTTCTTTGTCTTGGTTCTGATACAGTTTGGGGCCATTCCAAACTGGTTAGCAGGAAGGAGTCAAGAATAAGAGGCCAGTAAGATCTCTTGAATCATCACAGGTCAGGTAGCTGTATGCCAGCTATATATTAAAAGCTTTTAGAGATAGGTTAAATACAGTCTCTGCTAAATGCTTTTATGTTATCCTCTCTCATTTCAGCTTTATTCATTATATTCAACAATGAGAAAATGTGCCTCCATTATTTAATATCTTTGCATATGGCATATTATGAAAAGGTATAGTAATAATAAGTCAAAATCAAGCTGTTTTAAAGCTGGGGTGGCTGTAGAAACTTGCTAAAAGAATAGAAAAAAATCACAGTTTAGAGTTCACAGATGAAGTGGCATATTGGCTCTTTCTCTTCCTTTGATTTTAAATATTATCAAACTCTTCGAGTAGACATGCTTTGTGTTCTATATTTAGCCAAAAGGATGGTGCCTCAATAAATACTACATGCTGTCTACATAGATTCTATATAAGAGAGAAAAGGCAGGGGTAGAGTGGAGGGGGGGTGGTATAGCTACTGGAAGTTCAAGTGCTTCGGGAGGTATGCTGTAGACATCTGTGTGAGCAAAAATACCAGCTGTAGCTCTGCTACCTGGGAAGAAGCATTACAGCCTCCAGAATCCTCTTAAACAATCTAGTTCATTTATGGCACAGCTATTTCAATGGGAAGCCGATTCCTGGGGATCCATTTTGCTATACTTTTTAAACCAAAGGCCATTTTCACATACTTTGGGAAAGATAGATATGGTGCTTAGGACTTAAGAGTAAAGAAGATAGTTTTCCCCAGGACTAGGAGACCCGTTCAGCCTGGTTAACATGACTGCTAATCACGGAAACAAGAGACCTCCCTCCCCACTCCTAGGTCTGTTGTCCACAGCCTGGCTCACACATCTCTCCTGGGGCAAAGCACCACAGGACCCTTGATGGAGTAGATCCTTAGAGGTTTTTACTCCCGCCGTTGAAAACTGTAAGAGCAGCTAGGAATGGAAAGTTCTTGGGTCTTTGTTATTTTCTCTCTATGTTTTTTTCCTTAATGGCCCCAACACAAAAATTAAGAGATGTTTTGCCTTTATAGAATAATTGTTCAAAAACAAAGCTACAAGGCAGAACTCCAATTGGCAGTTTTAATTTAAAAAGAAACGGAAGAAAGGAGGGAGACAGGGAAAGACAAACAGAGGCAGACCCATGTCTATTCAAAACTGGCTGTTAGGCATTTTTGCAATTGATATGTTATCTAGGCATACTACTACTACTAATAATAATAATGATAATAACAGCCAAACTTTATTGATTACTTAACTCTGTGTCGAGCACTGTGATAAGCACTTTACATCCATTTTCTCTATCAATCTGCACAAAAACCCTTATGGACATGATATTATTATGTCAACGGTACAGATGTGAAAACCCATTCTTTGGAAAGTTAAATTGCTTGCTCATTGTCACACAGCCCACAGGCGATTGGGTCAGGGTAGTACCCAGATCTGACTCCACATAGACTTCTCTTAACTATAGCAATGTCCCACCTACTTATTGAAATTGTAGCCAAATATAATGTGCAGGGAGAAGTACCTGTTAGGAAATGCTGCATTTGATTTGTAGCCAAATCAAATTTAGGCATATGCTCTCCATAACTCTTAGCATAGTCAACCTTTGTCATTCCCAGGGAGAAACACATAAGCACAAATTAGACAGAGCCCAAGAAAGCAAGCCAATTAGAAACGTCTACGCCTGATACGTCTGCTCTGTCCTATTGGTGCTCAAAGCCTTAACAGCTTAAGCGCTGGTGTTTATTTCCTCCAAGACCTTTAAATGTCATGAAAGAAAATTTCTATTTTATTATGGATACACAAGTCCTAATTCTGTGGGGCTCAGAGTGTTCTGTGGAGTCTGTGAAATAAGCACATGACCCAACTTCCCCAAATGCCTTTATCTTTTCAGGATTGTAGCTGATAGTCTGCAGAAAGCTCCCAGAGCCGAAATAGGTTTCAGAATCTTCAGCGTTTTCATTAATGGAAACTTGTAATTCAGCAAAAGGGGGAAAAAAAAAGAAGAAAGCAAGGTTGTTATACAGACAGGTGTGAGAGAGGACCATCTGCTTGTTAATAACTTGCCTACAGAGTTTCATGCAGCAGGACAGGGGCACATTTATTATGTGATGCTGGGCCCCTTCCATTCCACTATCATTTTTGTAGAAATATTATTACTTGCACAACGTGCTCTATT